TAGCCGCATTAGCGCGTATTCAAATCGCATTCGCATGGTAATTTTATTAACAGCGCAACGGTGAAACGCGATCCAGAAACGTTCCTGTAGCCATGAAAAGGGGGGGGGAGGGACGTGGCCAGGTGACAATGGCTCTCATTCATACACATGAAAGTTGATACATATTCAATGAAAGGAGCCAGAAATAGTGACATGAGTTCGTTTTTCTTATTAATTTATCCAACTGAATGTTGCAACTATACCATTTAGTCATCTTCATGTAGCCAAGACTTTGTTGATCAGATATCTTGGATCAAAACTAACTGCCAGCATTGCTTACTATGTTCTTTTATTATGTGTCTGCAATTATACCAAGCTGCATTTTGCAATGTCTATACTTTTATGTCAAATTACAAACTTAATATAAATCCGACATATTTACAAAGTACACTAAGATAAAGATGAGTTTAATGCCAAAACAAATATATAAGAAATAATTTATTTGCCATGAATTAAGTTTATGATATTGAATGAAATGTGTGAGCATGCCCCAGTTAGTGAAAGTGTGTCCCCTACCCCAAGACTCCAGAGGGTTACATTTGAAAAAAATAAAAGAGAATAAAGTGTGTACAATATGTTTTCAGTGCTACTACGCTCAACAAGGCAGCCCAAACGACGTGACAGGCAACATGCTGACTGCCCCTCCCACCCCCAAACACTACTCCAGTCAGTCAGGCATTTGCTGCACTAGCTCGTTGCAAAATGGCTAGTAACGTTAATGCAATTATCAGACCAGAAATAGAGGATCCTCCTATAACCAACAGGTCTGGAGTTTGGGAGCACTTTGGTTTCCCTGTAAGTTATGAGGGTGATGGCAAGAGAGTGGTGGATAAAATTTGGACACACTCATCTTTCTGGAAAAAAAACTTAAAAATTGATTAAAACTGAGTTCCATATAAAAACAAAATTGTTCTTTTCTTTCTATTAGTTTATAATTACTACAAAATTACATTAAATTTTTTTATCAGGAGCTTTTTGGTTTTGGTTATAAAGGAGGTTTTGTTTTATTTGCTGCTAAAAAGAAACCTCAGAAGATGGGTGACGAATAGCGTCATCATTGTTTAGAGTAAAAGAAAAAAACAAGATCATACTTTTTTGATGTTTTAATAAATAAAAAAGTGAAAAAATAAAAGAAATTATCTGGCATTTTTTTTTATTTTTGCTGCATCGAAAACATACCGAACCATGACACCACTGTGTCGTATCGAACCGAACCGTGATTTTTGTGAACCGTTACACCCCTAACTGTGACTATTGTGACTATTGATTGCAAATTTGATAACATCACGGAGAAGCTCACGGCTTTGCAAAGGATTTTGGATGGCGGAGACCAGCGTGGACATTAGAGGAGCTGCGAAATTACAGCTTCTCGCCCGAAAACCCAAACAACCCTATCCTATCTGCTTTTGGCTCCCCCCTAATCAGCACTGGCCTTGGCCAAGGCCTCTGCTGAGCTCAACAACTCCCCCTGAAGAACAAGGCAGTGAGACTCTCTTGCATTCCTCTCCCCCAAACCCAAGGACACCTGGACACACACACACATATACATACGTACAGATACGCACTCACCGCATCCCATGCCTTCGCTGCTTCATACCCCCAGCGTGAACAGGCGGGTCTGTGACCGGCGCTGGAAAAGTGGCTGCAGGACTGGATGGTGGTTGTCTATGCTGGACTACCTCCACCTCCCCATTCCCCTCCCCTGTTGTGAGTCACGACTTTTTATGTTGTAAGGTGTAGTGACCATGTGCTTATGTTGCTGAGGTGTTTTTTTCTGTTCCTACATTGTACTCCCTACTGGAGTACAGTCTGGGGGCTGTTTTTTTATTCTCCTCTTCTCTCCTCATGTAATTCTGTTGTCTCTGTTCTTCCTATATCCCCCGTCTTCCTGACCTGTCTACCCCCTATAATGTGATGTTTGTATATATAAGGGGGGTTGATGGCCAGTTTTCGCTGGTACTTGTGACTAGTGACATGGTGTATTGCAACAGCAATAAAGGGGTTTCATCATCATCATCATCATCATCATCATAGTTATACTACAGAGAATGTTTTTGCATTAAAGCTTGCAAATACTTCATTCTGCGTCTCATCAATTCACCTCCTACTAATTTAGACTCCATACAATTTTTATTACTGAAACAACTATTTCTGCACCTTGATGCTCAACTTACAACCTTAGCAACTTCAACTTGTTGCACATTGTCTAGCTAGAGGATTAATAATATATTTGTTCTTCAATATACAGTAGTTATAAGCTGCAGCACTAATAAAATACATATTCATATCAAAGGCTAACATAAGATAGCTAACAGATACAGAAACTTCTAAGCCAACACAAGGTGCTATTTCGTACTTGTTTTTCGTCACATTGTGCACAGCAGTAATTGGTCTGCATTCTCTGAAGGTTACAAAGCCACTCTCTATACGGTTTACATCAGCTTCTTAATAGAGTCCTGGAGCCTCATGTATAACAACGTGCGTAGAATTCACACTAAAACACGGCATATGGAGAAAACTAGGAATGTGCGTACGCAAGAAAAAATCCAGATGCACAAAACTGTGCGTAAGCACAGATCTATGTACATTCCCTTTATAAATCCCAATGAGCGTGAAATTTTACGCGCATGAACGAGCCCACAGCCACTCCCCTGACCCGCCCATGATTATGTATATTTGCATATGTAAATCTGTATAAATACCCGCTTTGTTCTATATATTTCTTATACAACAATGGATAAACCACGTGGGAAAAATAGGTATTTCAGTGAGTGCGAAGTGGAGGTCATGTTAACAGAAATCAAGAAAAGAAAAGTGATATTATTTGGAGGTTTAAGTAGTGGCATCAGCAATAAATGAAACTTGACGCAGTGGCAACGATTACAATATTATAAAATGGGAAAAATCTTCTTACCGAGCAGCCAGCCATCACGTACCACCCCATTTTCAAGTTTGTTTCCAACACTACTGCTTCTGAGAATGAACGAATCATGGGTTGAGTCAGGCCATCTAGCCACAACATTAATGCAGGGGCGTCAGAAGCATTTTGAATGTGTGGGGGGGGGGGGCACACTGGCATAAAACTAATATTTTATGTTAAATGTGGGGGGATCCTACCGAATAATTATGAAATGTGAGGGTGACACGTCCCCCTCAGATTTAATGGGGGCGACGCCCTTGCATTAATGAGATGCATGTTCGAATCGCACATAATTTGTGCTTTCTATTTACATAAGCAAATTCGTTCTCTGAAGGTGCCTTTATAGCAATGTGCGTACAGTCGATGGCTCCGATTACATTGGGAAAACCGGACATCGCTGCAAATTGCGCTTTAACGTTTGCCTGTTCAACCACAGTGTAAGGAAATTCTGGGTGACAAGCGGATTATGCCGTCCCATACAGCTGGCAGGGTGCGACTTGGTGTTGACTGAGAAATATCCAATCGGTCCGTAAGTTCTCACTGAAAAGCACCTGTGTCTAAGAACCCGAGAGTGGACAGAACTTGTAAAGGAACAGGTATAGCGTAATTCCTCATCGTCTGCCTTTGCAATGCTGGCCCCAGTTCAGCACACAGCTCCAAATGGATTGCTCTTGGAAATCTGAATCGACTTAGAAGCCAGTCATCATCATGGGCCAAGAAATCACTATGATCTCTTCTAATTCTTCCATAAGCTATGTCTTCCAATAACGCAAGAGCTGCCATGGTAGTTGTAATAGTTCAGTCATTTTCTGCACCGTTTTATTGTTACAAATTGATTAAAAATCAGGTGCTGTGCATTTGTAAACAACATACAATTAATGTTGGTGTATTGGATAAAGTCAGCGGCATGATTGTGAGTTTAAAAAGGGAAACCACATGCAGTAGCAATGACTTGCCACTGGGTGCCGTCCGTTTACAAAACCGAGCAGAAACGTGCGTATGCCGTGTCTGGAGTTGAAGTGAGAATGTGCGTAGCGGTTTAGTTTAGTTTTTATACATCTTGCTGTGAGTGTGGAAACGGATGTACGCAACATTTTCGTGCGTACGCACCATTTATACGAGGCCCCTGATGATTACCTTCTCCGAATGGCCGTTCGTATCTTGAAATGTTCGTAAGTCGTTATTCAACATCATTTTAAGAGTATCCGCAAGTACAAAGAACTAGGATGCTGGGAATAAAAGTTAAAGTGTTTAAATTCATCCTGCTATAGTTTATATTCAAGCTACATGTTTTTGGTGACTTTGCATTTCCATCAGAGCATACCAACCGGGGGGGGGGGGGGGGGGGGGGGGGGCGGACAGTGTCTCCCAATATTTAATTAGCTTCATCATCCATTCCCTCAATAAACAGACAGTTGTATTTAAACTAAGTTGTGCCCTCCCAATCTCAAACTCTCTCCAATGCTATTGATTGCCATGAGTATTTTACCAGTTAATGAAGGCCAGTCAATTCAGATTGAACTCATTACATTGCTGGAAGTAAGCTGACCTGGGTAGCTGTGGCCAGACCATGTGAATTCTGGGAATGCTGTGCAATTTTTAAGCGGTTACAATCCGTGGTTGTGTTTGTGTTGGTCTTTTTCTTCACCATAAATTATTTGATCATTTGGTGGGTTCTGTTGCTCTTTTGAGTTGCTTGTCATGATCCACATTTCCGAGATACAGCCATAGTGTCAGTGCAAATAGGCCTTTAGACTTTTTCAGTATACCGTGTCAAAAAATGTAACATACATGGCAATGTGGCAATGGTACATTGGGGGGTGGGGTTCTCGATATATTCTATTGCATGAGGGTGGTGCATGAATGTGTCATGATTGACAATAAACTAAAGCATCATAAGAAAAATTTATGACAGGAAACTCAATGTGCCATAATTGAGATTTTTACCTTTTTACAAATGTTGACTTCAAAAGAGATTTACGCACAAATCTAAGAGCACACCATGTTCATCAGTTATACAAATTTACAACAAAGAAACATGTAAAGATTTTATAGTGAAAATTTAATGAATTTGTTTCCATATTAAAGTGTCACATCGTTATATAAAGGAATACCAAACTACTGCAACAAATTGTCAGAGCATCTATTTGTTTTAAAAGTGGGTACGTATGAGAATCTATGAACATTCTGCACATAAGAGGCCTATGTAATTAGCTCATTTATTTTAAAGTAGGCCTAATAATGCCCACGAAGAAAGGGATTCTCCTTCAAACCACGATTCTGGCCTTTTTTGAATTCTTCAAGCATACTTATTAGTATGGAAATCTGTATCCAGAAGAGCAAAATGAAGATGAACAGGATGACCAAGGAGATGCAGAGGGCAGCTATATTAAATGAGCGAGCCTTAGATCCGTGCTCCCGGGCGGCTTCCAGGTCGCCCAGCACCTTCTGGTCCCTGGCCTGAATGAGGAGATAACAAAAACACAAAAGCAAAGGTAAATTGCAACCCAACCACCTAAGGAAAATGTGACTTGTTCAGTGTTATTTGACTAAAACTAATACCAGCAGGCCTAACCACGAGGGATGCTTTTCCATTGCACAAGGTACCATATTTTTGGTACTAAAAGTTCAGTACTTTCCCTTTTCCATTGACTTTTGGTCAAGGTAACAGTAACAAAGCTACCAAATCAGCTGGAGTACTTTTCCGGTTATTGTTTGCCTTGCAAACATAAAATATACCCCTCTTTGGATTGCCACCTTATCATGGTGGAGGGGTTTGCGTGCCTCAGTGACCCTGGGGGCTATGTTGTCGGGGGCAATTGCCCTTGGTAGGGTCTCCCAAGGCAAAAAGGTCCCAGGGGAGGGGCCAGACAAAGAGCAATCCAAAAAGAACCCTATGATAAGGCATTCAAGCAAAGTCCCGTTTCCCTCGCCCGGACTAGGGTCACCGGGGCCCCACCCTGGAGCCAGGCCTGGGGGAGGGGCCTGTTGGCGAGCGCCTGGAGGCCGGGCCTTGGCCCGTGGGGCCCGGCCGGGCATAACCCGAAAGAGGCACGCGGGACTGTCCCCAGGTGGGCCCACCACCCGCAAGGGGAATGTCAGGGGTTCGGTGCATTGTGGATCGGGTGGCCGCCAAGGGAGGCCCTGGCGGTCCGATTCCCAGCTGACGAAACTGGCTCTCGGGACATGGAATGTCACCTCTCTGGTGGGGAAGGAGCCTGAGCTTGTGCGTGAGGTTGAGAAATATCGACTAGATATAGTCGGGCTCACCTCAACGCATAGCGTGGGTTCTGGAACCAATCTCCTGGAGAGGGGCTGGACGCTCTTTTCTTCTGGAGTTGCTGCGGGTGAGCGACGCCGGGCTGGGGTGGGGTTACTGGTGGCCCCACAGCTCGGTGCATTAACAACGGAGTTTACCCCGGTGAAAGAGAGGGCTGTTTCCCTGTGCCTTCGTGTCGGGGACAGGTCTCTGACTGTCATCTGCGCTTATGCGCCGAATGTCAGTTCAGAGTACCCGGCCTTCTTGCATTCCCTTAGTGGTATGCTGGTTAGCGTGCCACGAGGGGATTCCATCGTTTTGCTGGGGGACTTCAACGCTCACGTGGGCAATGACAGTGTGACCTGGAGGGGGGTGATTGGGAGGAACGGCCTCCCTGATCTAAACCCGAGTGATGTTCTGTTATTGGACTTCTGTGCAATGCATGGTTTGTCCATAACGAACACCATGTTCAAGCATAAGGGTGTCCATAAGTGGACATGGTACGAACATGCCCGGGGCTACAGGTCGATGATCGATTTCATAATCGTATCATCTGATCTGCGGCCTTCCGTCTTGGACACTCGGGTAAAGAGAGGGGCAGAGCTGTCAACTGATCACCACCTGGTGGTGAGTTAGCTCAGGTGGTGGGGGAGGAAGCCGATCAGACCTGGTAGGCCCAAGCGCATAGGGTCTGCTGGGAACGTCTGGCAGAGGCTCCTATTTGCTGGAGCTTTAAATCGCACCTCTGGCAGAATTCCAACTGCATACCGGGGGAGGTTGGGGACATTGAATCTGAATGGACACTGTTCCGGACCTCCATTGTGGAAGCGGCCGTACGGAGCTGTGGCTGCAGGGTGGTCGGTGCCAGTCGTGGCGGTAACCCCCGTACCCGATGGTGGGCACCAGAGGTGAGGGCGGCTGTCAAGCTGAAGAAGGAGGCTTACCGGGAATTATTAGTCCGGGGGTCTCCGGAGGCAGCTGACGGATACCGGCAGGCCAGGCTGAACGCAGCTCGGGCGGTTGCAGAAGCAAAAACCCAGGCGTGGGAGGAGTTCGGTGAGGCCATGGAAAGTGACATGTCCTCAAAAAGGTTCTGGCAAACCATCCGGAATATCAGGAGGGGGAAGCAGCTCCTGGTTCCTACTATTTATAGTGGGGAGGGGGTGCTGTTGACCTCACCTGGGGACATCACCCGGAGGTGAAAGGAATACTTTGAGGACCTCCTCAACCCTGCCTCAGATACATCTATGCACACTGCCTTTGAGACATCTGAGGGCACAGAGCCCGAGGGTGCTGGGAAGGGCTTGCCCATCACTGGGGCTGAGGTGGCCATGGTGGTTGGGGAGCTACGTGGAGGCCGGGCCCCGGGGGTGGACGAGATCCGCCCAGAGTACCTGAAGGCTCTGGATGTTGTGGGGCTGTCATGGCGGACACGCCTTCTCAACAGTGCGTGGAGGTCAGGGACAGTGCCGCTGGATTGGCAGACCGGGGTGGTGGTCCCCTTATTTAAGAAAGGGGACCGGAAGGTGTGTTCCAACTACAGGGGGATCACACTTCTCAGCCTTCCTGGGAAAGTCTATTCCGGGGTACTGGAGAGGAAGGTGAGATCGATAGTCGAATCTCGGATTCAGGAGGAACAATGTGGTTTTCGTCCTGGCCGTGGAACACTGGACCAGCTTTATACCCTTGCAAGGGTACTGGAGGGAACCAGGGAGTTTGCCTATCCAGTCTACATGTGTTTTGTGGATTTGGAAAAGGCTTACAACTGGGTTCCCCGAGATGCTCTGTGGGGGGTGCTTCGGGAGTATGGGGTCCGGGTCCATTGTTGTGGGCGATTCTGTCCCTGTATGAACGGGGCAGAAGCTTGGTCCGCATTGCTGGTTATAAGTCGGACATGTTCCCAGTGCGGGTTGGGCTCCGCCAGGGCTGCCCTTTGTCATTGATCCTGTTTATAATATTTATGGACAGGATTTCTAGGCACAGTCAGGGTGTTGAGGGTGTCCAGTTCGGTGGCCTCAGGATTGCCTCGCTACTTTTTGCAGACGATGTCGTCCTGTTGGCTTCATCTGTTGGGGACCTCCAGCGTGCTCTGGGTTGGTTCGCAGCCGAGTGCGAAGTGGTGGGGATGAAGATTAGCACCTCCAAGTCCGAGACCATGGTTCTCAGACGGAAATGGGTGGATTGCCCTCTTCATGTCAGGGAAGATGTACTGCCTCAAGTGGAGGAGTTTAAGTATCTCGGGGTCTTCACGAGTGAGGGTAGGCGAGATCGGGAGCTGGATAGATGAATCGGAGCGACGTTTACAGTTTTTCAGGCGCTTAACCGGTTTGTCGTGGCTAAGAAAGAACTGAGCCAAAAAGCGAAGCTCTCGATCTATTGGTCCATCTTCATCCCTACCCTTACCTATGGTCATGAGCTATGGGTAATGACCGAAAGAATGAGATCGCGAATACAGGCGGCCGAAATGAGGTTTCTCCTCAGGGTGTCTGGGCTCTCCCTTAGGGATAGGGTGAGAAGTTCGGATATCCGGGAGGGCCTCATAGTAGAACCGCTGCTTCTCCACGTCGAAAGGAGCCAGTTGAGGTGGTTTGGACATCTGGTGCAGATGCTTCCTGGGCGGCTACCCGGAGAGGTTTTCCGTGTATGTCCTACAGGGAGGAGGCCCTGGGGCAGACCCAGGACTCGCTGGAGGGATTATATCTCTCCTGAAGCTGCTACCCCCGCGACCCGAACCCCGGACAAGCGGTAGATGATGGATGGATGGATGGACATAAAATATATCCACCATTCTGAAATTGCGATTTGGTCGGAATAACACATGCAACGTGATGTGGATGGGATGACAATTTTTTTTAAAAAAGGGCTATAATATACTATTTTAGAAATAATTCAGATGTTGCAATGTTATATTGTTACAATAAATACTGGGATATTTATAAAGCAAAAAAGGAGTTCTGTGGATAGGAAATTGACCAGATCAGCTGGGAGGGAGGCATTATGGGATTGCTGTCATATCTTAGGCATAAGGCAAAAAGAAGTTGTTTGTATGAAACTCGTAATCTGGGTCAGGGTCGCAGTTGCGGTTAGCAAGCAGAGAAATGAAGGGAAACTACTGGGTATGTCTCAGAACCTGTCGAGATAAAAACATACCACTGAGGTTTTGTCGTGACGGCACTGCTACTCCGCCCCCCCCCCCCCCCCCCCCAAAAAAAAACGCTGAGAAGAGGGTTTGGGGTTGAAGAGAAGATGCCTTTTGTGAAAAGAGAAAGTCTTTGAATGTTTTAATCACGTACTACAATAGTCCTTCGCGTAGAGAATCGCGTACTGCAATAACTAATAGCATAAGGAATGCCCTTTTAGGGAAACTCAGTAAAGGTATATAAACTTTTCTTTGTTTTGGGTGTGCCACCTCTTTGGAACAGGGACACTGTTTCTCTTCTGTATTCTTCGGAACTGCTTCACTTATTCTCATGGTGATTATTTGCCAGCTAGTAAAGAAGAAATTAAGAGGAAAACAAGGAACGATCTACCAGGTACATTTTTTACACAGTTCAAAATAAATTTCGCAAAAAGCCATCTGCAATACAGCAAGGATGTAAAGCAGGGGTCGGCAATCTTTTTGACATGGAGTGCCAATTATACTGTATATTTTCTTGTTAGTCCGCGTGCCATGTTAACGACTGGGGGGGGGGGGGGGGCTACCATCGAGTATAGTCAAACCAAAGCAGCAGGCGCGCCAAGCAACAACCAATGACATTTCAACATCATAGAAGACGTCTGAAAATTTTTAATGTGTTTAATAATTAGGCTTGTGATCTAGAGAGCTGCGCGGGATGAATTATTCAGTCCCGCTCCTGCCCGCTCCCGCAAGATTCTGTCCCGCTCCCGCAAAAAAATATATATTATTTTCTCCCGCTCCCGCAAAAAAATATATATTATTTTCTCCAGCTCCCGCCCGCAGTATTCAAGTTTTGTCCCGCTCCCACCCGCAAAATCCCACAGGTAAACATATAAGTAGTTTTATTTTTACCACTGCGGCTACTCTGTTATTTGTTTCACTTGCTTCCCTTTTGGGTGTATATAGAAAAGAAACGGAAAATAAACAAATAGGTTTTGTTTTATTTGAATTTAATTAAATGGAATGATGAACATGGACACGAACGAGGAGCTTTTCAGAACATAGAAATACACTCAGAACAGT